TATATAGAATGTCTATATTGCAATCTTTGGCTATCCGCGTTCCCAAAATTACTGGAAAAACAAGTGTGCGAGACGAACATACTAATTTGGAGGGCAAAAACGACATTTCACGTGATGCCTCTTGGGTTTTCTCTGACTTAAGTTCAACCAACACCTTTTGAAATTCAAATTAATTAAAAAATTAGAGTTCTTATCGATCATTGAAACCACCATCTATTGAGAGTCTACTTAGAAGGCCAAAACAGAATGCCAGAAAGAAACAACCACATGAAACAAATCTGAAAGGAAAAAACAAAAAAAAAGTCTAAGTGAGGATGGATAAAAAAGGAGAAATTATGAAATATTCTCTATGTCATAAAGACAAACACAATGACTTCCTATACCAGCCCCTAACGAAGATATTTCTTTGACAAAGATAAATAGTAGTTACATTTCACCATTCAACCTCATAGATTGAAAGGTGAATTGCATAGTTACATCTATATATTGTTTTATTAAGGGACAAAAGAGGAAAACAGTTGTAAGTGAAAAAAAAGTTTCAGAGACAAGAATTTGTTGCAATGAAAACTAGTGTTGCAAATCAAGGGGACTTCAAATACACCTACAAAGGTCACAAGAAGTCAGAGCCAGTATAAAAGCATGTTAGAGGAAGCAACTGTACCTACAAGGGTCACAAGGAAAAGGAGTTAGTCTAAAAGGCATGGAGAGAAAGAAACTACATCTACAAGAGTCGCAACAAAACGAAGTTATTCTACAGTGGGGTTGCCACTATGTTTACAAGAATCAAAAGAAGTTAAAGTCAGTCTGCAGGGCATAGTGGAATTGCAACTACACCTACAAGGTTAACAAGAAGTCAGTCCAAAAATCTATACGTACCAAGAAAATGATGCAGAAAATGACTCCCAAAGCCCATGCCCAGAGTAAGACATTTGGCCTTGCGGAGGAAACTAGATGTATTAACACTTATTATAACATACATTTATGATTTTTTCTCCTATGTATTTCAATCTATTGTAATGTTTAAAATATGTGGAATAAATAAATTATTTGAAAAAAAAAATAACATGGAAACAATTCTAGAGTCCACGTCATTTAATCGGCCGGAAATCTTTCCACATAAGTCAGTCGACACCGAAAATTGCCAACTCAGCGTATTCCGATCGGATTTCGGCGACCGAGACCGAAATTGGACTAATTTATTTAAATTTTGGAAGTTTTTGGATCAATTTTGGATCGGCCTAAGTTACTGGACTAAAATGAAAAACAGCCTAAGTTACTGGACTAAAATTTCAATTTTCTCGCTTTTTAACACAAAACTTTAAAAAACAAACAAACCCATTAATTTAATTCCTGTATTGCAAAAAAAAAATTTAATTCCTGCATATGAACTGATAATTTGAAGGGAAATTTACACTTACTTGAATTTTGAGATTCTTAAATAATTTAGAAGGTAGTTAAAAGAGATTCTTAAATAACTCAGAAGGTAGCTAAAAATTAACAAAAATTTAAAACATATTCTATATCAATGGCAATGCCTCCACCAATAGTATGACGCCATATCAACATATGAAATTTCAAATTTGTAAGAAAAATGAGATTATTTAAAATGAAGTCATGAATAAATAATTCATAAACAAGTTATAAACAAAGACAAATAGATATAAAAAATCAATAAAAAATAAATCATAAATCAACCATTCATAATTATTATATTTACGCAAAAAGAACTTATAAATGTATTAATAAAAAAGAAATTTATAGTTAAACGGAGTGAATTGAATCAAAGGCTATATAAAGTACTAAACCCAAAAAATAATTTGAGCCCATTCGCAAATATTGGCCCGGGAAATAAAATCAAATGGGCCGACCCAGGCGGTGATATCTTGTCTGCTCTTGTACGGTTACTCCGTCACTCCTTGTTGACTCTGGACAATAAAACATAGTAAATCTCACCCGCCGGTCCGACCAACCGCCGATGGAGAACTCCGACGTGTTCGGTTCTTCCACGGCGCCACTGACGTGGCACGACTTCCTCGAGCGGATGCGCCACCCTTCAGCGGCCGACTTTGTCAAAGCCATCAAAAGGTAGCGATAGACATAGGCGCCGTCGAATGTGTACGCGCACAGCTTAGCTTGTTTGTAATGTTTAGATTCAAAGACTAAAAGAAATGTTGGTCTGAGGTAGTCGTTTTTGTGAGTGAAGTTATTGGTAGCTTAGAGTCACACTGATCGTCTTCCTGGGTGTGAATATCCGATTTTTCAGAGGATGTGCTCTTAAGATTTCGATTATTGCTGGAAATTTGGGGTGTTGGTTTAGCTGAGCTTCCCAAGAGTGATAATCAATCCTAATTTTGATTGTAGCTATCGATCTATGGTGTACTTGGGATTTTAGTTTATTTAATGATGATGTTAATGAACACACCAAATGCAAGTGGTTATGAGTATTCTCTAGTGCATAAAGGCATCAAATTTCATTCTTAATTGTTGAAATCATATGCTAATACATACTTGAGATAATGCAGGATCTTAGTGAGCCATTTATTTCTTATTTGTATAAGTATCCCTTTTAACTGGTTACCATCTGGAGCATTTTCAACTTGGAATAATTTGAAGCATTGACAATAGATATGGATTTTTAAATGGGATCTTGCAGTTTCATAGTGTCCTTTTTGAACAATGCTCCGGATGCCGAGAAGGACAGTGCAGCCGTGCAGGAATTCCTGGGAAATATGGAAATGGCTTTCAGGGCCCACTCCCTTTGGGCGGGATCTACAGAGGAGGAGTTGGAGAGTGCAGGTGAAGTGAGTATCATTTGCTTGTTTAAACTAGGAATCGTGATATATTATTGATTAGGTTAAGACGGCGTTTCAAATTCCTATTGTTGGGTCATTTCGTGTAACCTAACTTGAAATTTGTTATGAGGCGATCTGCGGACCTTTTATTTATTTCCCTATAACTGCTCCAGCTCTATCCGTGTCTTAAACAAAGTTTTGTTTAATGTAATCTTGGCTACTGAAGTATCTTAGATGGATTTGTTATGTTTTTTGTTTTTCAGTTGTCATTTTGGCAATGCTGTTGTCAGTTTGCACTTTTCTTTCGTATTTCTTGTTTCAAGATGGTGGGTAACTATATAAAAGGGGTTCAAATGCGGGTATTATGAGTTTTGTTAAACTGATTTGTACATTGTTGAATATCTGGTTTGGTGTATGTGTGGAAGCTGAGGTTGGTTATGTTTGAGGGCATGTTAAATAGAAAACTATAACAAGCGATTCCTAAGATCCTCTCTCTCTCTCTCTCTCTCTCTAATCTACCTCAAATGTCTGTGTATAAATCGTACAAACTAACCTCAAATGTTTTTCGTATCAGTCTTGACTCTTGAGAGTATTCTTGCAGGGACTGGAGAAATATGTTATGACAAAATTGTTTACTCGTGTATTTGCTTCAATTCCTGAAGATGTCAAAGTGGATGAGCAGCTTCATGAAAAAATGGCTTTGATTCAGCAATTTATTAAGCCTGAGAATTTGGATATCAAGCCAACATATCAAAATGAAGCTTCATGGTTGGTGAGTCAGTTGATGAAACAGTGATCTTCCATGTTGCATTAAATACTTGTCATTATTCGTTTAATCTGTATCTTGCATGATCCTCTTTGATACTTCTGATCTTTTATCAACCACTAAAAATGAATTCTCAAGTGGCACTTTTTATTATTCTAGCAAATCTTAAAGAAGTTATTGTGGGATTACTGCTGCTGGTGGTGAACAAACTTGCTTCCTATTAATAAATATAACAATGCTTCTTTGAGAAAAATGAATGAATATCTGCTCTCCGTATCCACTATCCCCATAAAAAGTAACTTCTGTAATGGTTTCTTAGTTTTGGAAGTTTAGGATGAAGCTGTTCTTTAAATGAAAGAAAAAAGGAAAACAGTATTGATATGAAACTCTTTAATGTAGGACAATGTATGAGAATGATAAATCTATATCACGAACTCTGACTGCATTTTCGTTCTTCTGTTCTGACAGTTTGCTCAAAAGGAGCTTCAGAAGATTAACATGTTCAAGGCACCTAGAGACAAGCTAGTGTGCATCCTAAATTGTTGCAAAGTCATCAATAACCTGTTGCTAAATGCGTCCATTGCTTCCAATGAAGATCATCCAGGAGCAGATGAATTTCTCCCTGTCCTAATTTATGTCACCATAAAGGTAATTCTGCATTTCTCCTCAGTCCAGAAAGTTTCTTGTGTACAATCTTATATTGGTAATTTGAACAACTCTATACTTACACTCACTATATCAGTTTTTTAGAAAGTACAACTAAAGCAGTAAAACTAGTACAACATATTGTCACAATAATTAAACAACATTAGACACATGTCTTCCATTGAATTACTTGTCTCTAGCCACTTAGCACTTCAAGGATCATTAATCTTCTTACAGTAAGTACACTGAAGTTCTATGATGTGGAGTTTGGTCATATCAGATTACCTGCTTGTAAATATATGGTTGTATTGGTTTTGAAATCACGAAGGTTACTGATCCTTTAGGAGAAATTGGAGTGATTTTGTCAAGAATCCTTTATTATTTATCATCACTTGAATTAATAAAAAAAAATAAAAATGATTGTGCTGACCTGACCAGGCAAATCCTCCCCAACTGCACTCAAATCTGTCATATATCCAACGATTTAGACGACAAACTCGCCTAGTAGCCGAGTCAGCCTACTTCTTCACGAATATGCTCTCGGTGGAGTCTTTCATTACCAATATAGACGCAAAAGCCCTCTCGATGGACGATGAGGAATTTGAAAAGAACATGGAATCCGCAAAAGCCCTTCTTGCCGGCCTCTCTGAGAACTCAGACTACGTGGATGCTCAAACAAATCAAAATACCAAACAAACTCCAAACAAACAAACCGTGGATTCAAAATCCAAAATTCAAGAAGCCACCAGTCCATCTCGTGAAATTAAATCTGGGACTGAGGAATTACTTGAGAAAGACAGTCAAGTGTTGGATAAAATTCCATCGGTGTCTGATTTAGAAAACAAGGGTGCAGCAGATCTCTTGAAGGAAGACGATCTGAACCGTCTTTTTCGGGATTTCCCTTATTTGTACTCCGAAGCCGGTGACCTGGCGGTTGGCGATGTGGAAGATTTGCTGAGTCATTATAAGCAGCTCGTGTTGAAATACGTTTGCCTTGCTAAAGGTTTGGGAGAGAAAAATCCATCTCCTTTGTCCTCTGGTGGCGAAAACCAGAACTTAGAGCAGTCGAAAGTCGAAGATGATTCGGAAACGAGAAAAGAAGATAGTCCAGATAATGATTTGCAGAAGGAACTTTCTGCGGTTGTGGGCCAATCAGATGAAGGGTTGGGTTTTGTGCCGGAAAATAACGAGTCGAGTGTGGTTGAAGAAGGAACTGCTCAAACCCCGGTAGAAGAAGGTGGCGGAAAGTCTTAATTTTTATCATATTCCGATATGGAAGAGGTACACTTCTATCTGTAATTTGATTTTCCTTCACACTTCTTGAAAAAAAAGAAGTAGAATGTTTGATTTTTGTCCATAAGGTTGAGGTTCCTTTGAAGGGCATGAAGGTGCCAGCCAATTATGTATCAGTATCAAGTTTTACATCAGTATGTGGAATGAGGTTACATTTACAAGATGGTGCTGGATAAATTCTTCAGTTTTTGTTCATCAGGCATTCATTTGCCCCCTGAACTGAGTATACGAGAGACCAGAAAATAATAATTTTGTAGCTTATAGTTGGGAGTGTTATTCGATCACAGCTCATGTGCAAGCTCGTGCTCGTTTAATAATCGAACTAGTCTAACTCGTTTAGGCTCGGTTCAACTCGTTCAAAACTTAAATCCTAAACGAATTGTTTGCGAACAATCTGGCTCGATTATTTCATTTGAACCTATTAAAGAAACGAGCTATGCTCGGTCGACTCGTTTAATCAACAAGTTCGATTAGTTGTTCGAGCTCGACTTGCTTAAGAAAACAAACAAGCCTAGCATGAGCTTTTACAAGCTGAGTTGAACTGTGTTCGTGAATAAATTAGTTCGTCTAACAACTCTATTTACTAAAAGTGGCAAGTGTTCCAAGCGTAGTTGACAGTACAATAGTAACATACTAAGAAGGTGCATGCGTGCAAATAGGCAGTGTTTGTTCTATGCATGCCGAAGGACCAAATATAGTGAAAATCAAATGTGAAATGCCACGTTCTACCAACAAATGTTCAATATTTTTTCACCAAATAAAAACTATGTGAGCCGGCATTGCAGCTTAAAAGTTGATTCGACGGATTAAATTTTGCACACTTATGATGTATTTTTGGATCAACTATTTTCGCACCATATGCATAATTTGTATCATTAAATGCCGCACACACTTTTTCAGTGTTTTTTTTTTTTTACACGGCAAACAAACAAACTTATATCTCTCATATTTTTATTATTTGTCATCTTAACTTAATTGATCATTTATTAAATAAATATTGTTTTGGCTATTTTTGTACATATTTTTTCATTATTACCCTCATCTGACTAATAAATACATTACATCTTTTCATATTCACTCTCCATCTTTTCTCAAAACATCAATCTCTATCCTCATTAATGAGGGTTATTATTGGCAAAAAAATATTCTTAATTATTGTGCAATTTCTCAAACGACATTTATTAAAAATAAGAAGGAGTACGTATTAATCTAAAATCAGAGTACATAGTAATCAGTTGATTACAAATTACAAGGCCAATCAAAGAAACAACAAATCTTAAAAAATAGTCTCAACAACAGCATTAGAATGCAACAGAAGTTCTCTAACATCTAAAAGCACCTGGTTTATCTCATCCACAAGCAGCAACCTTCTATTAATGTCTTCCACCAATTCTGCTGAATGTAGAAGAAGTTTAAAGTGCTTTCCTTAGCTTTAGATAGGCACCACTGAAAATTGTTTGCTAGAGTTCCAATTACTATTTTTAGGCGGATTACTAATTGATTTTAGAGCGGATTCAACTAGAGGTTTATGAAATAAGCATTTAATAAAATAACAAAAATTTATAGCGAATTCGATTAACGGTTGGTTAAACCAACCATTTGATAAATAACAAAAAATTATAGTTGTTATATTGTCTTACTTTTTTGTCAATTATCTCTTCACAAAATGTTGATTTTTGAGCCTTTTCAAAATTAACGTTTTCTGTCAAAAAATTTAATCATATAAATTCGTTACCAAATAAGCTTATTAACGGATTTAATTGGCCAAACATATAAATGAGGTCCAATTCACTAATTTACACTAATCCTAATAAACAAACGAGTCATTCATTCATTATTTGTTTAGGTAATTAAGCCACTTATCTTCCAAAAGTTCTTCCCATGAACAAAACAATTCTCAGTAATTAAGGTTGTTGTTGTAGATCTATTGGAATTATAATTTAGTGATAGATACATGTATATTTTCAAACTAAAATGCTATATTTAAAAAATAATATGAATAAAAGTATATTAGTATATAGTCTCAACATATAAATAAGAGGCATAATACCATAAGACAAATGATCTCAAGTGGTGTTAGTTCTATTGAATACGTGAAGTCAAAAGAAAATTTAATGGCATTAGTCGAGATTAAATGTTCAAGTTAGTTAGGAGAATGAGGTTAAAATCCACAACATAAGAAAGATCTATAGTTGATGTAGATTAACACCATCTCTCGTATTAATAAGAAAAATAGTGGGGATATTCAAAGTAGGGTTAGTTGTCACTTTCTAGCCTCCTAAAGGAAGTCTTAAAAGATAAGACAACGCAATGAGCACACAAGCTAACTTCAGCTATGTCGCTAGTTCTGAAGAGATTCTCTTGCAGATTTTGGATCTAAGGTGAGACCCAACCTTGAGAATCTAAAATCCTGAAACCTTGTTTAATGGAAAACTAAGTTTGGCAGTTTAGTGAAATACTTGAAAATTTTACTCTTTTTTAAAAATCGTCAAGTGTTAAAATCAACCTAAGTAGTGAGGTTAAGTCGGGGGCTTTTAATGATTCCTACCTAAGGGTGGAGTAAGGAATGATACTCCTTACAAGAGAATCAACTTTGTAAGTGAAAAGTAAATAAGCCTCTTCAATCGAACACTTGCTAAATCGAGATATGGTCCAAGGCCTAAATGGACAAACGTGGGGAGAAGAAATGGTTAGAGTTGTTGTTGTGTGATTACTTTTGTCTTAGTGCAAACAAAAAGCCAGTAAGTTTAAAGCATCGCGCTACTAATTGGTTAGTGTATCCGATAATATTTTACTAAGAAAGTTTCAACACCACGAGTTATCTATCCTGATGCAATAACGGTTCACTGAAACTCTTAATTATTGCATTTATGCATTAATTTCAATCATGTGGGGGATGAAAAAAATCGATTTTATACTGATTTTACGGTTTTCCTTTTAGTAAATGAAAGATTTCAAATAAAATATTAAAATCAGTTTAGGTTGAATGAGAAATTAATTCCATAATCTCTTCTTTGACAGAAGTCTCTTGCATAAACATGTGAGGGGAATTTGAGTTTATGTAACTCAAAATTGAGTTTAAGTAACTCAAAGATTGTAGGATTCGCAAACAGCCATGATCGTGCAGTACGCATGCTAAAACTCTAAAAGGGTTCGTTGAGGATGAGCATGAAAAAAAGGAACGACGATTCCGAGTCTAGATGAGCACGTGCGAGCTCCCGACACGCAGTCACGCGCCACACCTCGCCGCAAGCACGATGCTGGATCAACCTTCCAGTTGGGCGCCACGGCTCATCGTGCCCATGCGACCCGAATACACCTTCTCGTGCTTAAAACGGCTCATCGTGGCCACGCGACCCGGATGCACTTTCTCATGTCGAAAAAGATTCCTACTCAGTTTTGGACAACCTGGCACGTCTCGGAAAGTGTCTTTTGATGCCTTGAACCCCTTTAGATGTTCAAAAACATCTATAAACACCCATGAAGTGAATCATTTAACTACTAAGATTTTAAGAGCTCTTTCCATTCTTTTACAAAGTTCATAAAACATCTTATGTTCTTTGTATTTGTATTTATTTTGAGAGTTCTCAAACTTGAGTATTTTATGTTGAAGATTTATGTATTTGAATTACCGGTATACACAAGTCAAAAATCATTGCATCTTTGAGGCTTTAGTCGTAAAACATGGGTAATATACGGTGTTATTTCGCTTTAAAGAAAGTGTATCTTATTTGCCTGGAAAAAGCTATTTGTACAACTTTTCTTGTACAACATTCAATGACAACATGATGTGGGTGGTTGAGATGTAAATAAATGTATGGTTGAGATTTGAGTTAACGATAATTTTAACTAAGTTGTCAACCAATGTTGTAAAGTACAATTGTACATGTAGCATCATCCTATTTGCCTAGACTTTGATTCGCTTTTACATTTACTATTTCTTAACATTCACAAACACACACGAAACTACAAGATTTAAATGGATAAAGATGTAAAAATTTATTCATTTTTCTTAACAAAATAAGGGTGGAACAAGTATTATTTCTTTGATCTCTAATTAATGGTTTATTAATATATTTGACTATTTTTATATATTGTGAGATTTGCGTAATATTTTTTCACTCTATATATAAATTAGTACAATACGTGTGTACTATGCGGGTACTTTTTAGAAAAATTGTTTTTAAAACTAGATGATAAAAATAATAACAAAAAATGTTTTAGTTACCGTCACTTACACGACTTATCATCATATATTATAATATTTTTATTTCATATGAGATAACTACTTTGTAGTTAAGTTAGTTTAAATAACTTTATTTTTTGAATTAATATTAAAGGTAATTTAATTTTAATTATAAAGATAAATAAAATTATTTATTTATTTTGTATGTATAATATAGATGTTAAATCGAAGTTCATAAAGACATGATTAATTTGATATATTATATATAAAAAATATTAATAAATAAAAAAATTATTAATTTTTAAATACATTTATAAATTAATTAGTTAGTAAATGTGTTTTAATTTTAAAATAAATATAAGAAAAAAAGAATGATTGGAAAAAAAATTATACTTTATAAACCACTTCTACAATAAAAAATGATATTAAAACTTAAGCAATGCTTTTAAAATTTGACACATGGGATCTCAAAGCGTTCGAGTCTACCATTTAGACTCAGCACTATATAAAGATATATAAAGCGATATATATTATAAGTATTCGTGTAATATACTCCTAGTATTGGAGTAGTTCTTTTGTGTCACTTATACATCGTTTTGGAGACACAATTGTCCTTTTCTTTTACCATCTCTATGGCTGCATATAATTATTACTGTTTTCCAACTCCCCAGTCCCCATTACTTGTGTTTGAGCGACCGAAGTTATGATGTTTTACTACTTTTAATGTCACACCCTCCCTTCGAGACATGAGTCCTCGTAAAATAATCAACTACACACTTTAGTACTCTCTCCATTTTGAAATATAAGAATTTAAGGTTATTGCACAAATATTAAGGAGGCATTAATTAATGAATAAATTGACTAAATTAATTTTATTTACTCTAATCACAACCACTCCACACTTCCTTAATTTCAACACAATGAGGGTATATTTGGAAAAAAATGCAAAAATTTGTCTTGATTTTTGAGCGCGCCTTATATTTCCAAAAAAATGAGAAATCTTTAATGGAGGGAGTACGTTATAAACTTTTCAAACTAAAATATATTGTTCGTGAGTATAACATTGTTCTTTTTTGTTTTTTCTCCCTATTAGATGTCATCTAACTTTATTTATATTTATACTACTTGACCTTTGTTACACATTAGGTTTGAATATGTCAAGTTGCCTATTGTCGGCATTTTTCATATTAATAAAGGACATTACAAAAGACTAGCTTCGTACAAATTTGGATTTGTGGAAAAAACCGCATACTGTGTCTATTAAAAATTAGGTGTCACTCGTTAATGTTAAGAATTTGGTGTAGCGTGACTTAATAGCTCGCTAAATTGGAGGCTAATTGGATTTTGCTAATAGCTAGAGTTAACTTGCTCATTGACTTAGCTTGGGTGTGATGAACATAACCTACATAACTTTATTTAGTTCGTGGATGAGAAATGCGACCTCAGGCCGACGAATAAGGTTGAGATATGTGACGCGACTTATCGAGTTCTCCTGCTCGACCTAAGTAGAGGGAAATTTTTTTAAGCCATTATCATTTTATACGGCGTAGTTTTATCCCAAAGATTATCATCTAACTAAGCATTGAAGTTTTTATATCGAAACATATTTGAAACTTTACATATTATCATAAGGCTAAGTTTAAAACTATCAGACGAACCTTGATGTAGATACTCTGTTAAAGTGGTGTGGATCACTTCAT